TCGGCGAGAACACCGCTTGTGGTAACGGCACGTTCGAGGCGGGGGCGCTTAGCTGAACGCTTGAGGGGGCTCTCATTGTAGCCAAAGTCCCCAAAGATGTCAAAGGTACTCTCGAAACCATGTCCGACGAGGTTGACGTTTTCTTCGTTGGGGATAGATACAGCTGGGCTCCAAGCTTTGTTGTCAAGGAAGGAAGTGTCAACCCACATAGCAAGGCTCTTATCTGGTGAGCCGCCTACTAGTTCTCGCATCTTGTTACGATGGTTGCGTAGATTGGTGTTGGGCGATGCAGAAGCGGGTGGAAGAGCAGGCCGCTTGAAGACAATAGCAGGGGTAAGAGGATCGAGAACCTTGGTACCCTGGCGGACCGGCGACGAGATGGTAGACTGCTTGTGAGACCTAGGCTTGGTGGGAGAATCGTAAGAGGAGCCACGTATCCGGGCAATCTCTTCTTCAGCACGTCCACGCTTAAGGTTGGGACGATCGAGATCCGCCTCGGAAGTGAGTAAAGGTCCCATTGGGTTACCCTTGGTTGCAGACGATTCGATGGACGAGTAGTAACCGCTGTCACCGAGACCGTTGAACTTGCGCCGGCGTCCGCCCGAACGGCTGTTGGGTGCGAAGTGTGGAGCGCGTGGCGGTGTGTCCTCACGCACTGAACGAGATCGAGAGACAGGAGGAGGAGGTGATGAGTGGATGTCAGCTGGCGGAGGCGAAGATGGCATCTGACGGGGTGGTGGCATGCTAATAGGATCATGGCCGTCATGCGCAGCAGGGTCAGAGCAAGGGATGGTAGCTTCGGAAGAAGGTAGCTCGGCCTCTTCCGGAAATTTGCTCGAGTCAAATCCCTTTGTCGAACTCATGGGTGGGAAGCTAGCCGACATGGATGTGGAAGGACGCGGGAGATCACTAGCATATGCCGGAGCAAGGGATTCTGGAGGTGCCGGTCGGCGAACGGGCTTGACCTTGTGGTACTGCTTCTCGAATCCAGCATTAATGACCCAGTAGTGGCCTTTTCCAGGGTCGTCCTTGGGGCGTTCTTGCTTGGAAAACGATTTGCTCAGACTAAGGTTGTGGCGGATGCTATTTTGCCATCCAGTCTCTTGGGAGTTGCGGTAGAAAGCGAATGTGTCGGAAATCCATTTGTAGATCTGCGCGAGGGTCAACCGACGGCTCGGTGATCTTAGAATAGCCATGCCGATGAGCATCGCATAGCTGTAAGAAGGCTTGTTGCCGTCGTCCTCAACGGTGGGCATTTGGTCTGGGTTGGGTAGCGGTCCGTCCACGTCTTCGATCTTGATGTCCTTGACGAACTTCTGCTTCTTGGTGATGTTCATATTGGTGCGGTCGCGTAGCGGGGCGGCGTCCGTCAGTGGTCGCTTGTTTCCCTGCTTCATAGGTGGCTCTGCCGCTGACATGGCGGACATGACGGGGCCAGAATAGTAGGCGTTCTCCTTATCCATATGGGACGGATAGCCGGGCCAGTACTGGAGTTCGCCGACCATTGGATCTGAGTCCTGCGAACGCGCAGCCTGGGTCTTCTTGGTGGGCGCGTCGGTGCGAAACCACTGCTCTTGCGGCGGCGGTATCTTGACCGTGTTGAGACCCTTCTCGGTAAGGGCGCTGGGTGGAGGCGAGCTGGAGACTTGGCGGGTCTTGCGGGGCGATGCTTTGGCGGTGAAGGGTGCGGGAGGGGCGAGGAGGGTGTTCGAGTTGTTGGACACGTCGGTGATGGACGTGAAGGCGTCGAGGTCGCGTGGATCAAAGGCGTTTGCTTGGTGGTGGTCGTGAGGCTGTACAGGGTCCTGAAAAATCTGCATGGAGTGTTGTCGACGCGCTGCAGCCATGGCGAGACTCCGCTACAAGGGCACCAACAGCCTTGTATAGTCTCTCCAGACGCTTTGACGCGTGAAGTCGCGTCTAGAAATCCAAAATGGGTCCGTCGAGGCGACTAAGCACGGTCGGCGGGTGCGGTGTTGACTAAGATTGCGGTGACGACGGCCAAGTGAGTCGTTGAAGGGGCGGTAAGGTGTGGGCTGTCAATTGTCGGAGGGAGTATGCTGCCTGTCATGTGCGGTGCAATTCTACGTGACTTTGTGAGAAAGGAGCGCGTTTGAGGGAGGGTGGGCTGCTATCTAACCTGTGCTGATGGGATGAGGCAGCGGAGCAATTCGCTTAAGGGCGCTAAAAAAGAACCTCTGACGACAGTAATGCCGGATCTGCAGCGGGAGGGCGGTGTGCGTTTTCTTCTGATAGCAAATAATGGAGGAATGCGGCGGGAGAGATTCAAAGACACAAAGTGGGCGATGAAACAAGAAGAGGAGATCTTGGGCCGCTGCTGGAGCGCGGAGAGAAAGCGGGCAGGACAACAGGGCAATAGGCAGGCTTGGAGGCAGCTGCAGCGCACCTTCCTTGGCTGCCACTGCAAACGCACCTACAAGGAAGGAGCAAGGGAGCGTGGCCAATGAGGGGGTCCGAGCACGGGTTCCCTCTGATCGATCGCACGTCATGCCCATCTTGCCCAGGAACAACCTCGCGCCGGCAATTACACTAGCCAGCTGTTTGCAGTGGGCGTGCACGGTAAGGCTGCTGCCATTGACGCCCATCTGAAACCCATTGCTTTTGCCCGCCGTGGGATCCAGCACCCAACGCCTGTGGCGACGACTGGGAGAGCCACCGACGTGCAAGCGCCAGTGCAACGCGTCGGTGAAACAACTGCCCCGTCGCAGCCAGCTATGCTGCAAGCCGGTGGATAACAGCTATCGTATGCCTAGGGAGTCGCCCCGGAGCGCAATGCACAGCCTATCGAGTGCCAGACGGTGGCACACTCTGATCCGAACACTAGGGGCGCATGAAACTCGACAAACGGCACCCTGGCCTTAGGTGCAGCTCAGCTCAACCACTAAAGCCACACGCCCACATCCCAGGGGTACGCAGTCCACGCTGCATCGCTACCCTCGTGGTCCAGAAGGGTCTCTCGAGGCTACCACCGACATCTCATTTCGATCTCAACTCCAGCGCACGGAACTTCTCCTGCATCGCGATCACAAACTCGCAAAGGAGATGAACTGTCATCTGGTCGACCACATGCGCGAAAACTCATCTTGGAACACTACGTGAAAATCGGGTACCTCGTCGTAGTGCGCTCCGAGTATGCCGTCTTCATGCGCGGAAGCCTTCGCTACCATGCCTGCGTGTCAGCTTACCCCAGTACTGCACCCCACTCAACAGTCATATCGCATATGCCGCATCCGGTCTACCGACTTGTACACCTCTTGCTCTTTCTTCTGCCCATTACGATATTCTTTCATCATGCGGCTCAGCTCCTGTTGAAAGGCGCAACGCTCAGGTGCCGGCTAGGTTCCCGTCAACAACGTCTGTGGTTCCATTAATAACCTCCTAAGCGAGTCTTTACAGATCACGATGCGGAGCCTCCTCCGTGATTAGCAGCGTGGGGCGGACGGCTCATCATGGTGATCAGCGGGTAGCCGCAACTTCGACCTCAACAGCGTCTGTTCTCTCGTGCGCTTAAACCCGCAAACAGGCTTGTGTACCCAAACCGGGAAGTATGCTTCCAAAGCGGAGGGCGCCGACAGGTCGTTTTCGCTGCGTGCTTCACTCCGTCCGTCAAATCTCCCGCCCGACGTTGACAGTGCTGTCGGATCGGAGCCCAAAATTCAGGCCGGTACTTGCGGAAATACAGTTTTGTGGCCAATCAGAGAAAACATAAATCGTATCATTTTCTAATCTCAAACTGCCTACCTGAATTCTAAGACCGTGAAATTGAAACCGTATACAAACCATCAGTCGAGGAAATGGTAAGGCTGAATGGACAAACGCCGGGCCTCACTCAATTCTACACGCCCTACAACCCCGTGTCTGCTCATTCCAACCTTTTCACCTGATCGCAAAGCTGACGTATGCTTTAAGACTTACTTGTCATGCTTTGAACTCATGACATGAACGATCCGGCAATAAAGCGCTCACGCGACCTGTCATGAGCTGCGAGCGTGTTCTGTGCCGGGGAAGTTCCCTTGACCCTTAAAATGTACCTGGATAAGAGCTCATGCTACCCTTGCGATAATGTGCTGTTGCGGTTCTGCAAGGTACAGCCTGTGGGCATGGCACTTGAGTGCGACACCCGACCAGATCACCATCGGAAAGTTTGCAAAGGGTCACATTACTAGGCATGTAACGCTGTAATGTACATATCCACACTAATCTTGTCCCTGACTGTCGATGGATGTTTGCTCATGAGCTGTTAGTGAAGATCATGGAATGCACAAGGGTGTACATGATCTATGGATATACTGGATACATTCGGGTAGTTGAACTTGTCAGAGTCTTTACAGTAAGGTCATTTGACTATGTAATTTCACGCCGCTGTCGTCACATACTAGCCTAGCGACCGTACAGACATCGGACCATGTTTCAAGCGTTTTGAGAATGCTACAAGTCATCCCAAAGCCTGTTGGACGGCATTTCATTAGCCCGATGTTACTTGAACTGAATCAGCACAGTTACATGGAGTTAGGAGGAGTGGCTATAAGAGTCATCGATAATGTACCGTGGTCTCCTATGTGCAATGGAAAATACAGTTGCCTCTATCTCTTCTATTCCTGACGGGCAAATTGACTTGTGTTCCACGATACAATGGGCGAACTTTCATTCTTTAGAACATCTTCCGTGGTAGATTATTATGGTGCGGGAAATGAACTAGAATGCGTTCTGCGATTGAAGGCATATAAAGCATGCTGGGTGTGACACAAACACATGATGGGAATGTTGACATGCAACGTTGCATCGAAGAGAAAATATTCGGGTATCTAGGTACTAACTTAGTGCACCAAAAAAGGTCTATGTCTATCTCTTGATTCCGCCAACAATGCTGACATGCTCATTAGCAATGTCTAATCTCAAATGATCTATGTGAAAACTCCAGACAAAGTAAGACATCGTTCATCGGCTTCAGAATCTTTGCTTCAAGGCCCGACAAATATTTAGTTCCTTCGAGACCCGATCCTGAGACCTGGTATTCCCTTCAGGCCCATCTTGCCGACTGTGGACTTCTCCAACATGGGCGGCTCGGGGCAGCCCATCGTGTACGCGTAATCATTAGCGAGACGAACTAGATCGGCCGTAGAGATCTGCAGCTTCTTGACGAAAGTCTTGTTGTAGCCGAGGAACGCCTGGTACGCCTTTGCCTTCGATTGCTCATCGACATTGGTGAAGGCTCGGTCAATGTTTGCTTGGTGCGAGGGTAGACGTGACACAAGGTCGACGGGGTAAGGGTTGATAGGCAGCGTCTTGTTGATCCTTGGGAAAAAGGCTTCTTGCTCGAAGAGAACGAGGACGGCACGTCCATCCTTACCGGCACGAGCTGTTCGGCCGACACGGTGAACGTACTGGTCAGTGCTGGAGGGGAGACCCAGCTGAACGACGAGGCCAACGTTGGGGAAATCCATGCCGCGCCCGACGACGTCGGATGCGAACAAAATACCGCTTTGAGCGTCCTTGAATTCCTGGGTAGTGCGTGTGCGTGCAGGCTGAGACATGCGGCTGTGGAGCTCAAATAGCTTGAACTGGGGTAGCGCATTTCGGTAGAGGTCATACAGCAGTCCGACACCGTTCGCGGTGGTACCGAAAACAATGGCTTTGAAGCCGGTGGGGTTCTGGTTGTACTCCTCCTCGATCAGGGCTGACAACGCAGGGAAAGTCTGACCGACAGTAGGAACAGAGAAGAAGAACTGTGGTACGCGCTCGTGGGTCGGCACTTCGTTCGGGTCGACAGTCGAAAGATGTGTGTAACCAGGGAATAAGACGATCTTGGCGATGTCAAGAACCTCCTTGGGGAGTGTGGCAGAGAAACACATTCCTTGCCAGCCATCGTTCTTTGGGGGGATGCGCCTGAGTATCTTCTTGACCGCAGGTGCAAAACCGGCATCGAGCATCTGATCAGCCTCGTCGAGGATAACCGTCTTCAGATCACTGAACTTTTCGCGAACTTCCTCTTCACCCAGAATGTCGTCAAGGCGACCGGGAGTAGCGACCAAGACGGTAGGGTTGCCGTTCATGAAGGCCTTGAGGTTCGAGGCACGAGAAGTACCACCGAACGCAGTATGGCACTCCATCTTCTGGGGCAGACACGATGTGACACCGTTGCACTCCTTCGCAATTTGTAGAGCCAGCTCGCGGGTAGGGCAGACGACGAGGATGGCGACCTTGCCTTTCCGGGGCATGTTACCGGCCAAGAGGTTTTGGATCGCAGGCAGTAGGAAGGCCACGGTCTTGCCCGTACCTGTCTTCGCCTGTACAACACAGTCGGAGGAGGAACTGGGCAGCTCAGTGAGAACCTTTTGTTGAACAGGGGACATGTATCTGTAAGAGTCAGCGACCGTGCTGGGAGAGTGTAACGTAAGAAGGGCTATGCTTACTCAAATCCCATCTTGTCCAAGCCATTGAGCAACGCTGGGTGTAGCTTGTTCTTCAGGTCGGCGAAGGGCTTCGGTGCCGCATCGCCGGCCGCAGTGCTGTACATCTGTCGTACGTCGACGCCCGCATCTGGCTTCGGCAGTGTGTCTTCGACTCTAGGACGTTTTGGTTGTTGCGACATGGCCGAGCGAGCGTTCGCAGGTCCTCGCCCAGGTGTGCCGTTGGTACGATCACCGCCGCCACCGCCGCCGCCTCCACGGCCTCCTCCTCTGCCGCCGCGGGTCCATTTGCGCTTCGGTGGTGCGGACATGTCTGTGACTGGTGCTGGAAGTGAAGTGTACTGTCTGTGTTGGGTGCGGTTGGGTGTGAAGGGGATTGTCGAGATGAGGCTATGTCTTGTATTAGTTGCTAGAGAGCGCGGCTGAACGAGACGAGCAAGAGCGAACGGGCGAGATGAGAGAGTGTGTGAAACTAGTTTCATTATCTTCATTCGTACATACAAAGTAATCCGCACTGAGAAACTAGAGAAAAGTAGACACGCCGAGGGGTTGTGGATACAGAGAGCGATCGTACCCTTAGTTTGCCTTCCGGCCAGAAAAAGTTCAGCGCCCCGAGTCAGTCTGTGCTTTCTGCGACCGCTCGCTGAGTCAGCCATCCTCCGAACTAGATCACGCCCGCCCTACTGACAAACACCACCATATTCTGAACGATTGGCGTGCTCATTCGCCAGCTGTAGGCGTAACGTCTCGATACCCAAGTGAGTGACAGATTTCCCATGCGGAGCTTCGCGTTCGAGCGGAGGAGACCTCTGGAGCACTCTGTTTCACCTCAACACCCGTCACCAGCTACAATCAAGCCATGTCGAGTGCCTCGTGATCTACACGCGCGATGCTACCAAGCTTGACCTCAAACCCACCAGTACCCTCCGTTTGCACAAGATTATAGGACGGCTCCACGAATTCGGCGTAATATCCACCGACCAGTATCCATTTGAACTCGTCTGCTGGGGTGTTGAGGACAGCAAGGAACCGAAATTTGATTCGGAAATGCGTCCGGAAAGTCTCAAAAAGTTGATACATGTATTCCACTACGTCGTCAAGATACAGTCTTCTGGTCTGGTCGTCAGGGTCTGCATAGTTGGTGTCTGCTTTGGGGACGGTAATAGATATTTCGAGATCTCCCCTCGTGTTTGGGTTCCGTAATTTGTCCATTGTCATCTCCAGAAATTCGATCAAGAGACGTCGTTCCGTTGTGTCCATGGGGATCGGGGCGGCGGTATTGCATTTCGTAGCAATATCACTAAACCAGTCTCGTACCAGTGCGGAAAGCGTAGGTGATCGTGATGGATCTCCGAGTTCGCTGAAAATTTTCTTATAATGGCTGGGATTAAGATACTCGTAAAGTAGTGCGTTGAGATCATGCGAAGTTGACTTTTTGACTCGCACCCAATCTTGCTGACCATCTGTCGCGTTTGGTGGATTGGCTTCAAGCCAGCGCTTACCCCATGTATACGTATGTGCGAGTAGTTGCAAGAGGCGAGGCAACTGCTTGATGCCCTTCCAGTGCACGAAAAGGCGTGCTTTCTTCTCTCGGTCGAGCGCATACAATGTGTCGCCGGCAGCTTGCTGGATCTCCCGGCTGACTCCAGTGATGCCAGAATTGTATGTAGTGGCCACCCAACGTACATGTTTGATCCCAGGAACAGTTTTGAGGACCATACGATTTGCGCTCCATTTGTAGATTTCTAGGTGAAGTTCTTCTGGGAGCGCGGCGAAGCCAGTTTTGAGTCTGTCCTTTGAGTCCATAGTAGGGTGAATGCTCATAGCTTTTTGCTTTCTGGCTATTGATACGTTGGTGGGCTGATACGTAGTAGGCCTTCGTCTCCTACTTGCAGGTTCTCTGTGGTCTTTCATGGCTTTTTGTCGAAGTTTGACCCTCTCAATGACGGCAAATCTTAGAGTGGCGTCGTTTGGAGGTAAAACCTCAAGAGATGCAGATATGATTGAAGGACTCTACTGTATCGTAGCTCGAGAAAAGAGGTTTCAGTAGCGACGTAATAAGCTTACTGTGGGCAGTTTACAACCGTGGTTTCGCATACCCGATTTTGTGTTTTCGTCTAGGTCTTGCTTGAAATGCAGTGGTTGTGAGTGGCTATCCAGAATCTCCATCACCAAATGTCTGTACCTGAGAACAATCCAAGCTACATGAAGAAATTTATCGTCGAGATCCATCAGAGCGCAGGCGCAAAGATTAGAAGAAAGGGCCCTCTCGTCACGATTCATCGTAGACCACAACAGACCTCGGAAATACCTACCTAGGTAGGTACTTCGTTCGCGCGTCTACCAAGCTACCCCCCACCTATGAGTGCGCAGCCGTTAGCATGATATGCTCTAGCTTACTAATGTCGTTGCGGCGAGAATCGGGGAGGTGATGATATCTGTACTCCTGAAAACGTGAAGGATGTCCATGACCGTGACGCACTAACAGCGCGACACAAGCATTGATGACCTGCTTGGCAGAGAAGCTTAGCTACGATCGCGCGCTAGGACGCAGACGGCATGATCGAGACCGCAGTGGGCCTGTCCCCTCGCTGATGCAGGATGGCTAAACATAATAGCATTTGGCGCCAGACTTCATCAGCGCTGCAGACAGACTCGATACTGTATGGGTCACTCCCATGACATTAGCTGTTTCGCAAGCTCCAGTGCCCACCTTAGTCGGTTTGATCCCAAGAGAAGCCTCAGCAAGCTTCGCAAGCGGTATCGAGAGACAACGCAACTCGCATGTGATTAGGCCGAGTGGGCAGACAAAAAGAATCGCGCAACGCAACAGCCTAGCGACCCAGCATCGGGGATCCGCGTAGGTTCACCCGCGCATGGTGTGCAGCTGCAGCGAGCACGGTGTCTGCCTCCGCGGGTAACTTTCTTGTATAGCTGGCGACGACCCAGGCAGTGCTTTCGTGCCCTTGCGTACATAACACGTCGTCGGGCCTCCAAACTCCAACTAAACAACATTCTTCAGGTGCTGCTGATGAGACCGAACTTTTGCACCCACCAAAAGCCCCCGCTCAACCACTCTCCACCGTGGACAGACCCTGTGTTCCTTTGACGACTTGGCAGCCAAGAGCATTTGCGGCTCTTGAACAAGCCTTCTGCGCGACCCAAGCTGTACGTAACTGCTGATCCATCATACATCCATCCCTTCCCTCGCGCCCCACAAGCGTCCCGATTGCTGTTCGCTGTCCGCCTCGTGCCCGTCACGTTAGCATCCATGGGGCTGCGGCGCCGTGCACGACGGCTTGTCTTTGCTCACGCTAGAGAGCACTGCCACCATCACCATCGTCGTTCCCCGCGTGGGACCGCGAGACATCACCGTATTGCCACGATTACGCCGTGTCCACCGCAATGCTGACCAGAGGTGCGCGCTATCCAGTTGCCTGTCACCGACCTTGTCCATCGCCATCACCACAGCCCCCCGTCCATCTGAGACAGTTGCGCGTCGCCGTTGCGTGCGCCAGCCCCGAAGCGATCGCCCAAGAACCACAACACCATATACCGGACACCTGACCGCGTCCGCCGCCGTGCTTGTTGCGCCTATTGTTCTGACTAGCCACGCAAAGCCATTTTCGCGATACCCCTACCGCCGGTCGCGTGCGCCTCCCGACACCGGTGCTTGCACGCAACAGCTCGTCCCGGCGGCCCAAGCGACTAGCTTGTACTGGCACATTTGTAGAATCGCGTGGGCTCCCGGAGACGACCGTCTATACTGCGGATAGCCGCATGATGTGCCTGGTACACGGAGTATGACTTCCAGCCAGACACGTTCAGCTGCTACTCCGTCCTCTCCAGTGTCGAGCCGGTCGTTTCTCTCTCGGCTCAAATCACCCTTGACATCCAAGTCTCGCAACTACACCGAATTCTATATTCAATCAGATGACCCCCATCGCCATTATACGCCGGGCGACATTATCAGTGGGACTGTCATTATCAAGATCGTCAAACCCCTGAGAATCACTCATTTGGTCGTATCTTTGCACGGCTATGCGCAGGTTTTCAAGAATCCAAATACTCCCGGAGACGCTTACAAGAATTACTGCTCAACAGTCGGCTCTGGGAGAGGGAAAAAAGCAGTGAGCTACTTTGGCAATGGATTCGTTTCGCTGTTCGAGGACGAGGTTGTGCTTTGCGGCGAGGGAAGACTGGCTGAGGGTGTATACCACTTCAACTTCGAGCTCGAGTTCCCTTCCAAAGGCTTACCCAGCAGTATTGACGTGAGTAGCGATTCGTCTGCGGCTGACAGACTTACTAACAACCAATCACAGTTCGAGCGCGGAACGATATCTTACATGCTCAATGCTACCTTGACACGCCCCACGACTATGTCGCCGACTGCGTCATGCGACACAAAGGTCTACCTCACCGAATCGATCGACATCGCGCCCGTACCGCAATTGAAGCCCCGTGTCATTTCTCTGGAACCCATATCTAGACGAACACGCGCTAGGTCGACGCGGAAGAGGCCAATAGAGGAAACGCCGCATACACCCTCTGGTTCGGAGCCTCAGTCAGTGGGGCCTGTATTGGAAGCAACCAAGACCATCGATGAGACGGAGGGTCCACGGAGTCCCTCGCCTAGCGATGTGAGCTATGAGAGTCAAAGGAGTAGTGGAAACGCTTCCGGAACGGAGTACGGCATTCGCTCGATCAACACGGCTACAGATGGGTCAAACTCACAAAATGGAAGTCGAGCGACACTGAAAGGAAAGACAATCACAGCCACGATCGACGTGCTCAAGGCCGGCTTTCTCAGAGGCGACCAAATACCGATCAAAGTGACTGTGAATCACACGAAGCATATACGAAGCTTGAAAGGTATCATCATCACGTTGTATCGTCAAGCGAGAGTTGACATGCATCCTGCACTGCCTGTCGTACCAAACAGCAAAGGCGACAAGACCAAGTCAGAAGATTACTATCCGAAATCGAGGACTGGCCTGGGAGGCTTGTCTCTCTCGTCAGCTGGATCCAGTCACTTGTTCCGGAAGGATCTATGTCAATCTTTTGCACCACTTTTCGTCGACCCCAGAACGCTCATGGCCGAGGTGAAGTGTGCGGTGCGCGTACCAGATGAGGCTTTCCCCACAATATCAAACGTACCGGGCGCAATGATATCCTTCAAGTACTACGTCGAGGTCGTTGTAGACATACAAGGCAAGCTCACAGGCCTCGACCGAATGGTGTCCAACGCTGGGCTTGTCAATCTGCCTTCTGCAGCTGGAGGCACCTCTGCCATGACACGTGATGATGCCAG